GACATGGAATTTTGACACTTGTCGCCATTTAATTGGCTCAAAATTTATTTGTCTACAGCAGGATTATGATATGATTTATCTTATGTGGCGTACATGTGGCATGTGGGCCACCGCAGGCTTATTATCGTTTTTTGGCTGATAATTCTGTCCCGGCCACCCCTGGGATTGTGTTATCCCAAGTAGGGCTGCAAACGAGCCGAGCCGAGTCGAGCATTGGCCTTATCGAGCGAATTGATTTTTTTTTTGAGGTGCTCAAGCTCGTCGAGCTCAATTTTTGGTGCTCGAGCTCGACTCGATCAAAACATACAAGAGCTCGAGCTCGACTCGAGCTCGACTCGAATTCATAATGCTCGAGCTCGGCTCGAGTTCGACTCGAATTCTTTCAGGAAATTTTGTAAAATAGCCATTAATTACATATATATACAAGAGTATTTTAGTAATTTCACATATCTCGATCCGCTCGCGAGCCGCTCGACAATGCAATATATGCGCTCGAGCTCGACTCGAGTTCGTGCTCGAGCCGCTCGAGCTCGAGCTCGACTCGAGTTCGTGCTCGAGCCGCTCGAGCTCGACTCGAGATCGGTCAAACTCGAGCTCGAGTCGAGCTTTGACTCGAGCACTCGCGAGCGGCTCGCGAGCTGCTCGACTCGTTTGCAGCCCTAATCCCAAGTCCCACTATGATCATTTTTGCCTGCGAAAAGACAAGAATACCCCTCGATGTCAAATTATTTACCATGAATGGAAGGGTAAATTAGACATTTCAAATTATATCGTTTCATATAGTTCATGATACATAATAGTTGCGGAATTTTGAATCCTATAATGTAAACATGGGACAAAATACTGACGTGTAAAGTTGCTCATTTTTAACACATCACCATTAACGAATGCAATGTTAATCAGCGAGTCTGACTAAAATTTTGGCTCAAATCATTTCTCTAAAATTCCATCAATTCCACAAGAATTTGTTTATTTAGGTGGACCAATAAGTATATTTTTTATTTGATAGCAACAAAAATTTAATTAAATATAAAGTTAATTGATGAGTTATCTAATTCAACATACTATAAGAAAATCTAGTTTGCTCTCAATAGTCGTTATACTATTTTGATTATGTCTATGTTAGTGTCACAATCATAATTCATATTGTGAAATGAAAAATGAAATAGTAACAGGGAAGATGCTTTTGTATAATTTATAAAATACTTTTAGGTAATATTAAATTAGTAGGTTGATTTGTATATTTACGTACTTTCAAACTCATTTTTCATTTGTCAATTAGAATAAATTATAATAAAGGTAAATTTTATACCAGCTGATATAATAATAATAATATTTGTATTACGTATATCATATGAATATGAAATAAAATTTTTATTATTTACAATAAACTTGCATTGGTCAAAATATGTACTCTCCCTCAAGAGTTTTTGACACTGCTGCATTCTCAGGACTCGAACACGAGACCACTGGTTAAGCTGGAAGAGACCCAAGCCATCTCATCCAAGCGCTCTTGGATAAATATATACATATTCTAAAACTTGACGAAACTGTTACAGATTATTTTTCCTTTCTTTTTTTTTTTTTTCTTTAAAAAAGAGTTGCAGTTTTTCTCCAAATTAGATTAAACCGTATGTGGATTTTCATCTTTACAAAACCACTTATTATAACAAAGGTGTCAGCCAAATTCATTATTATAGCTGACTTATAGTTAAAAAGTTAAGTTATATAATAAAAAAATATTTGGTAATTAACTGATAAGTCAACTAAAATTAAAATTTCAACGAGCTTATTTGAAAAGCTACCCAAATAAACTCATGAAATAAACTCGGCCTTTTTAAAACAACTCGTAACTCATCCAAATGCAGGAATTTTATAAGCTAACCAAATAAATTATAAGCTAACTTATTTGTCTACAAAACATAGTCATTATTGGAGTATTAGTTAGATATTAGTTAGACATATTTGATAGACATATTACTGTGCAGTTAAAACAGCAAATCAACAGTGATTAGCAAAAGTGTGTTTGTTAGATGGTTAGTTAGTAGATGCCAGCTCACATATATGGGCCTCACTGTATACATCATAATCACTCTCTTGTGAATTAACAGTAATGAAGAATTTACACTTTCTCTACCTTTCTTCAAGTTTCAACATGGTATCCAGAGCCATTTCGCTCCTCTGAATTTTTCTTTCGCTTCCTTTTCCCTTTCTCATGGCGGATCTCCGATCATCGCCGCTGTCGGCCGTTAGTGTTGTGCCTCATCTCACTCCACTTTCGCTCCGTCTGGATCGATCGAACTATTCCTTCTGGAAAGCTCAGATTCTATCAACCGTTCGTGCTCATGGTCTTGAGGATTTCCTTCTGAACCCTACTCCGCCGCCGAAGTTCATCTCCGATTCCTCTGTTTCCTCGCCGATTCTCAATCCGGCTTACCTGCAATGGATGCGCACTGATCAGTTGCTTCTTAGTTGGATGTTGGCTTCAATTGCAGAGTCTATGCTTGGTCATCTCACTCGATGCTCCACTTCCGCAGATGTTTGGTCGGTATTATCTCAACTCTTTCTCACTCAATCTAAGGCGCGCATTATGCACCTTAAGTTTCAGCTTCAAACCCTAAAAAAGGGGGATTCTTCGATTGATGATTATATTTTGAAGATGCGTACATATGCTGATGAACTTATGTCTGTTGGTCACCTTGTATCTGATGATGAGCTTGTACTGTATATTTTGGGTGGATTAGGCTCTGACTATGAAGCTGTAGTGGTGAACTTGACATCTCGACTAGATTCTATTTCACTTCCAGAGGTTCATTTCTCCTTACAAACTCATGAGATGCGCCTCAATAGTCACATTAGCTCTACTTCTAGTGCCTTTTCTGCTACTGCTGCTTCTCATACTTCAGATGGTGTTGCTTCTGCAAACTATGTCACCACTCGTGGTTATGCTTCTTCTCGTGGTAATTACAGAGGTCGAGGTCGAAATTCTCGTGGCCGTGGTGGTGGCCGGTTTTACAAAAATTCTGATAGAGTTGTGTGCCAGCTTTGTGGTAAAGCTAATCATGTTGCTCTCAAGTGTTACAGGCGGTTTGACATAAGTTTTACAGGTCAGGATGGTCTTTTGCCATCACCACAAGCTCATATCGGTGATTCAAATGCTTCCTCTATTGCTTCTGCCTCTCCTGCAACTGTTGATCCCAACTGGTATTTTGATAGTGGAGCCTCTACTCATTTGACTGCAAACCTTGACAACTTATCACTGCATTCTGCTCCATATCAGGGTAAGGACAAAGTCACTGTTGGTAATGGCTCTCAACTTCCTATTTCGCACATTGGCTCCTCTCATCTTTCTACTTCTCATTCCCTTCCTATTCTTCTTAATAACATTCTTTGTGTTCCTCAAATCACTAAAAATCTACTTAGCATTTCCCAGCTTACCAAAGATAATAACATTCTCATTGAATTTCATGCTGATTGTTGTCTTGTGAAGGACAAGACAACTCACAAGGTGCTGCTGGAAGGAGCGCTTAGAGATGGTCTTTATCAACTGGATCTCTCTCAGCATGCAGCTCTCCTTCATTCCACTCCTTTTCAGACATGCTCTTCTTTTAATTCCTCTTTATCATCTTGTACCCCTGCTGCCTTTGCAGTAAACACTGATGTACTTCTTAACTGGCATAGAAAGCTTGGTCACCCTTGTTATGGTGTCTTTAGCAGAATGATGACT